ATTAAAAATGTCATTTTGCGGACATTCTTTTGTTATTTAAGTAGGTGCACACATAACGAGAAAATAAACAATTGAAAGAGAAATTTAAAAAAAATAATAATAATTTTGTAATTAGATTATATTTAAAAAATTAGAAGAAATTTAAACAATTCTAGATGTATCTATTATATAAAACTTAATAAAATTTATAATTAAAAGTTTAACACAACAAATAATATTTATGCATTCTAGAGATATCATTTTTTTTTCGTTAGTAAAATTCTATCTAGTAATTAACAGTCGGATTCCAAGCAACATTAATGAATATTCTAGCTTATCTTCTATTTTAAAAAAGCTAGACACCATTCGCGTGTCAACCTACATTAAATGCAAGAATAAAATGTAAAAGAAGGAAGAAAAAAATCGGCGATAAAGTACGTCATTCCAACAAAAATAGATTCCGAAAACAAATGGATATTTTCATATCGTAACAAAGATTATCCCAGCAATACGTATAAATAATTAAAATTCCTCAAGAGGCTATTTTAACCATACTTTCACTTTTTATCAACATTATTTTTCATCTTAGAGAGGATTTATATATCACCAACGTTATAATTTTTTTATTACGTAGAATGTTTAAGGTAGGGAATACTGTAGTATAGCTTTACGAATAGTAATAAATGTGGCAACCTTATCTTTATAGCGTATCAGTGTTGCTACTACTTTCCTACACCACTTTTATTGCCATTCTCATCTTAATTTTACTATCTTTATTAGCTTGATAGTTTTATTACTTGTGTTCAACCACTACTATAGTGAAAGACGAATTTATATTGATGTAATTGCCCCGAAGAAAGATTCGATAATGCACCAACGAGATGGGATAAAGTTTATTTTTGATATCGCTGTAAGTGATTGAGTTTTAACGTGAACCCCAATATCTCATTGACTTTGGAATAAATCAGGTAAACGATAGTTTCCAATTTCTTATTACATCCTTACAATATTGAATGAAATTAGCATTAGATAACTCGTATATAACCAAGAGGAAGATTAGCATCTCACAGATAAATATTCAAGAGAATACATTTAATTCTACAATTAGAAATGATAATTAATAATTGACCTTGCGTAAATAACACGTAAGATATAATATTGACTTTAAAATAATATCTTTAAACAATATATTTCTTTTTAAGAGTCTCTTTAGATCTCACATTTTAAGACGTCCGAAGAGACTCTTAAAAATCCCCAACCGGTATTATCAAGATTGTCGTAACATTATTATCAAAATTATCGGAAAGATCTCGTTTTAAGACTAAAGTTAAAGGTATAAAATTATCTTTAAAATGGTTCTTTAAACGTTATCGAATATTTTAACTCAAAAATAGTCAAAAATTCATTTTAAAGCTTAAACGCTTACACCATTCACACAAGTATAACTTCGCGTAATTAATCCTAGTAAAAATGATTTTATAGATGAAATTCTTTATGCACGTTGAAATTATAATTAAGAATACGAAATTAATTTTAATTAAAATTATTTTAGCATCGGTTAAACAAAGAAAAACTTAATAAAGATGGAATTATTTAAATAAAAAATACTTGCATTTTAGGATAAGAATTGCAAACTTTTTAAACATAAAATTGAATAAATTAGATTTTATTAAAGTACTTAATTCTTTTTTATTTTAGAAATTAACAAATTTATATTTTACAATTCGAGCCTATCCAAAATTTTCTCTACTTAATATTAGAAGATTTAATCATATTTAATTGTCATAATTCTTAGCGAGTTCAATGTTCGAAGATTATTTTCCAAGTTATTCTTAGTTTTAGAATTAATTTTATAAAATAAATATTAAATACTTTTTATCTTTTCTTAAATACAAAAATATTAATTAAAGTTTCATTGATACGTTATTTAATATTTTCAATCTATATTTTTCTGCTTCCTTTTTTTAAACTGTTGAAAATGTTCTGAGTTAACGATTAATGCTTCTAATTATCTTTAATTATACATTAATGATAATATCAACGCTTCATCATAATTATTATTTCTCTCTATTTCTTTAAATGAAGGCATTAAAGAGTTAAAAAGAAGGTATAAATATGTTATAATGACTAGGAATGGAAACGCGAATGCGCAATATTTAAAGTAAGGATATTAAATGTAAACAGAGAAACATGCTTAAAATTTTTTGAAATTATTAATTTACGCCATTCAAGATGCTAATGGAAATAGTTTAACGACATTTAAGATTCATAAATTATGCAAAAATATTTATTAAATATAGCTTTACCATTTTACTGCTAAGATAATGTAATGGAGATATTTACATGTAATTTATTTATTTGTTTAATTATAATTTAAACTATAATTTTTCATCTCTCGCTGGCATTACTTTATTATAAATGGCGAAATTAATTTAAATAAATTAATCTGTCGTATTAATGAATTGTTAGAAAAACCGATATATATATATATATATATTATTTAGTCAATTAAATATGAATTTATAGAGATATTTTCATAAATGTGCCGTTTTTATGCAGAAGAGAATGGTCCCAAAACGGTAAAATAAAGAAAAGTACGTGGATCATGTCCCGCGTAATGCTTCACGAACATGTTTTTACACTCGTCCAGATTTTTCCTATGGGAACTACTTACTCTGTGCTTGTCAATGTGAAGAGGTCGAAGATGTGGATCGTACAGCAACGCCGACGGCTCGATGCTCACTGGGGACTGTCTTCTTCCTTTACTACAAAGGCTCCACTCTGGATTGAGGAGACCCCAAAAATCTGGACCTAAAACAGAAAAAATGCCTACTGTTAGTGTCAAGATGAAAATTGTGATCGAGACATGGTGTAAGAAGAGTCTGAATTTTAAACGAGGGATTTTGGTCTCATTCCTGAGAGATATGCCAAGTAGCGATATCAAGCTAGTTCAAGTTAAACATTAGTTGCGGCTTGATACAGGATCCGTCTGCTTGTCTGTTGTAACAGTTCTCTAAGGGTTCACCTTAACATCTGACTTTCTTCCTTTTTTCCCTTCCACTTTTTTATATGAAAAGAAATCACTTTTGGGAGCAGGTATGTCCTTCCAAATACCAACTTTATAAACTAACTATAAAATGTTGTATTTAAATTTCAATGATCTTATAAAATATTTATAATTAAATTATTTATTAATAAAATATAAACGACTTTATATAAATAAAATTTACGATTGGAAACAATAATTTAACCTAATTTTGNTATATAAATGTATATATATATATATATAACATTTCATATTCATTTATATATATATCATTTCAATCATTTTTTCATTTATATATATATATATAAATGAAAAAATGATTGAAGTAAAATATTAAAACTGTTATTAAATAACAATATAAACAATTATTACATTTACTTGAGTTTATAAAAAAACTTCTAATATCTTTTAATGGTAAGATATTTATCAAATTTAATCATAAGATGAGAAATTTCTCTAATTATTTTCTTTTAATTTCATAGAAAGAAATGTGATATTTGCTCTGAAAAATGGATTCAAATATTAAAAACAATTAATTAAGTCGTTTTTTTCTAAACAATATCTTTTCACTTTCATGCAGTAGTAATTTAAATGTTTATAAACAATAGAAATTTGAATAAAACTTTATTGTTATAAATACAGTTATTATATTTATAAAAATTATAACAATTAGATATATTACAACGATCCGAATCCTTGTAATATTCTGTGGATAATTCGCGTGGAAGATATCATTCTGTATCCTTCACCCAAGCTGGTAGCTTCCATTATGTATCAGATTTTGCTTGTAATAGGTGAAATTATGGCTGTTCTATGGCTCATATGCTACTATCTTGCAAGTCAAACAAAATATTATAATGGATGATACGTTCACATATCCCTCTACAGTTTATTTTTAAACATGTAAAATGTTTAATTATAATGTGAATACGACTTAATATAAATGTTATTTACATTTATATCAAGTCTTATTCGCATTAGAATGAAACATTTATAAACATAAGTGAGTTATTTGTACGCTTTACTCATTAAACTCGTATATACAGGATACAACTTTGTATTAATTTACATGTACATATATTAATTCATTAGTTAATTATATATTTTATTTTCGTTCTTTTTATTTATCATTTTTCTTAATATTTCGAATGCTTTTCTTACATAAATATACCTTAATTAATTTTTAATTTATTAAGAGAATTTATTATTCAGTACACGTGTTATAAGAGGAAATAAAAATAAAAATAATCTATTAAAAATCCTTCTTAAACTTATCTTTTTACTTCTATTAAGTTTTCAATATGTTTTATAGAGTTTCTTTCATACCGGAAAAAGTTTTATAAACTTATTTACAGTACTAAAATAACATAGAAAAATTGAATGAATTTAATATGACGGTCAACCGAGAAATAAAATAGTTTAGATTTCTGGAAAGGCGAGAATTTTTTCCCTAAAAAATCGTGTCCGAAATAGACAGTAGCCATAAGACGAAGGAAGAAGTTTCCAATAGAAATGATCCCAAACCACCCACCATCAGCAAAAAACAAAACTGTTATTCGAATATAGTCTTTCCCTATTCGCCAAAACTCATCTTGCCAGAGCCTTATCTCTAACAGCCAGTGGACTGCTGACAACCAAGCTAGACTTTTCTTGGCAAGAACGTCACTATCGGATAATTTCGTGTCTGCCCGTTGAATTATTCAAAACCGGTCGAACAGTATTACCTGGTGTTGATGTCTCTTGTTCCTATTTCTCTTCTTTTGTTTCAGACTTCTTATATACACGACGAAACAGGTAAACTGCTTTTCTGACTGGATTACATTAAAGTAAAGGGTGTTTGACTGAAAGGTCAAAAGGTTATCTTTCTTTTTTTTTATCAGGATAAACTGTAACTATTAATCCATAAACATCGTCAATTATTATTATTATTATTTTTATTTTTATAATTTTTTTCTCGGTCGATATCTTTTGAAAATATTATTTTAAAAAAATTGCCACGCTTGAAAGTATTAAAGTTTTTACTACGTAAAGAGGATGGTTAAAAAACAAAATCTGAAAATCGCCAGTTATTTCAATAAAGATCTTTATATTACTTCCGCCTGAAGGTTACGAATTTTGGCAATAAGCCGAAATTCGATCTAGAATTCTACATAAAATATCGATATTATTTCACCTGGAATATTGCCCTATCGATATTACAATTGAAACATGAATACCTTATAAAAACATTCTGGAAACAACTCACTTCAAAAATTTTATACTTCTTACAGAATGTAGCTTTGCATCTCAAATACTTTTTTTTCTGACTAATCAATATTGCAAAATGTTTCTTACGTGCTAACTTTATAATCTCTACGGCTACTTAAAAAACTCTGAATACATATATATTTTTATTCCCGGCGGATAAAAAGTACTTACATTTGATTAACCTCGAGCGTGTTCCATCAATAATCAAGCATCAAAAGCTTAAAAAGATTACGTTATTTTCGTCTGTAACATCACTACAGAAATTGTTTTCTTTACAGTACTTACCTAGACTCATGCTAATCCCTAGTACTTAATGAACCGTCCCATTTCATTCCCTAAATTTCCAATTTGTGTCGCTGTAGCAAATGAGACCACGTTCAGTTACTTCTGCAGTCATTATAGACGATGAAGGCTAATTAATTTGCACAAATAATTAACTGCTGTTAGTAGTTCGATGGACGTAGACTCAACACGTTCGATTCTCATTCATAAATGACACAATTCTTAAAAAATAACTCTTGACAACCATTTAATTGGCAACTCTTAACCATGATTACAAATACAGATAATTAGAAATGTATTCCATTTTGTAATCAAGAATTTCAAAAAGTTTTCAATGAATTCTAGTCAAATAATATAATCGAGTTTTAATGAATCGATATTGTGTTTTTAATTTAATATATTCATTCCTACTCTTACACATATTAGATGTACTGTACATCAAAGTAGAACAACCGGTCATGTATTACACATTAATGATATGTTTGACACGGATATAACATGTTTTCTCTTCCGTGGAAATGCGTGTATTTTTTTTATATCAAGAAATAATTCTGTAATAAGGAAATTACAAGGAGTTAAATATATCTCCTTAATGATAAAAGTTTTATATAAAATATGGATAATGATGTTTATTAATATTACTTTTAATCATCTTATACTGATGTCTATATATATGTCATGTAATAATATAGTTATCATAATAATTTATGCATGCATAATGAATGAAAAAAAATGACTTAATATATTTAATTGCGTTGTAAACTTATAAAAATTCGGTTATTTTATTCTTTGATTAATGTAAATAAAATAGTTTTAAACATAATTTTAAATTCAGTAATCAGAGATTTGTTATCGAAAATCAAACGGACAATGATAATTTATAGTCTTGTAACAGAAGAAAAAATATAAAATCAGCACTATAACTGTAAATTCCGTCTTTCAACTCAAATTTTCTAAGTAATGTTTCACATCTTCAACGAACAGAATCGAGGAAAATAAAGAAAATAAATCAAATAATGTGTAGAATATAAATTAGTTATTTACTTTTTTTGTTGTGTTTCTTTTTTTGTAAAATTTCTTTAATTTTATATTAAAAAATATTGAAAATTACGACAATTGAAAGAAAAATTTTACTGTAGTAATAGTCAGTTTCTGTTAGAAATTCAATTAATTTTCTCAGATGGTCGACTACAAAGTACTTTTCGCAGAATAATCTCTCAATCAATTCTTTATTTGCTTGTTTAGTAAGAAAAAAAATCAATCATAAAATTCTCATCTATCGAAATAGCATTACTTTTCACACTAAAAATTTTTTTTATTATTTTAAACAATAAAATAATAGAAAATTAATTAAAAATAAAAATGAAAAATTCACGTTCTTATAACATCATTTTTTTCACTTTACACTTATAACAATAATATTTATTACAGATAGTATCAATTTTCGTGTTTAACACACATTAAATTTGTAAAAAAAAACAGTATTTATCTGTAAATTTTAAATATTAAATTATATTAAATTAATATCATTCAGATAAAATCAGCAATTTACAAGTTATTGTAATTCGCGAACGAAGCTTTTCGAACATTAATTAGACTTATAACTAATAACTTCGAATAAGTTTAAAAGGAATAAAGAGCTGAAAGGAGAAAAAAGTATATATTTAACTTTTTTTTTTTAAATTTATAAGTTGATTATCTTGGAAAGCATGATGAATAAAATACAAAAGCGGATTTGAAGAGTGTAAAGAAGGAAAAAAAAAATATATGTTGTGCATATTCATCAACGTGTAATTGAATCGATAACTAGCTTAAAGGAATTCGACGTTTTTACATTACTAAATTATATTAAATAACCGTTAAAAGTCTTTTTATATTAGTTGAAAATCGAGTAAAACTAAAATTATAAACAGATTTTCTTTTTTTTTTTTTTTAACTTTTAAAGATATTCACAACGATGGCAACGATTCAAAATCCTAAATAAGTCAAAGGTTATAATAGTATATTTAAATATATTCATCTGCCTCAAAAATTCTTAAAAATTGAAAATCTATGATATAAAGAAAAGAGCTTAAGCATACTTTTCACATTAAAGAAGCATGAAAGGATAGATTTCTGTACAAAATTTCTCTTTCCAGAATTTCCATACGAGATCGATAGAGTGAAATGAAGATATTTCTAAAGGTCTTCCTTCCATTTCAAGATGTCTTTGCCAGTTAAAAAAAAAAACCTTTTT